TGGCTCCGCCCTGCCACCACGGTCCACCTCTTTCTGGAAAGTCACGCCACGGAAAGCATGATCATCGAAGCCATAGCCATGGCTCAGCAGCTGTTGCACAAATGTGGCCACCGCACAGTAGTCGGCCAGGCGAGAATCATTCTTGGGTACCAGGTCCTGCAACTGGGACGAAGGCGGACAGTGTGGCCATGGTGAGACCCGTTCACGGACCTGGAGGTCTGCGGAGGTCTCACGCAGGCTTGGAGGTGTGGCCCACAGCTCCCTTCACACGCAGGGAATGCAGGGCAGAGACCCCGTAACCAACCCGAACACTTAGCTTGACTGAGGTCAGGCCAGGGGCCGAGTGTGCTTGCATGGCCAGGTGAAAGCCTCTGCCCTTCCTACTGAGTAATGCTGAAGAACACAGAGGAGAAGCCCCCCTGGGATGTGGTCCTGACTTGTTACATCCTGGGGTCTTCCCCAGTGTACAAGGACAGTGCAAATGACAGCCTGTTACCATCTAACCCTGTGGACGGCTCAGTCATCACCACACTAGGACAGGTGGGCCAGAGGTCTCTGTGAGCATCTCAGACCCAGCATGTTCAGAAACAAACCTCCTTAACCAGCAACATGTTGGCCTAGAATCCAGGGTCAGAAACCTGGACGAGTCTTCAAATCCTCTCCTATTTCCAAACCCTGCAGCGTCTCTCAGAATCCTCCATTTCAGCTTTCTCCCCCAGGCTCTGTCCCAGCACCCTCCTCAGTCCACTTCCGCAGCTCTGCGCCCCAGGGCCTGCACCAAGCGCCCCACCCCTCCAGATTCCGGCCCCACCTGGCTTCCAGGTGATACACGCACCCCTCCCCCACCATAGCTGACCCATGAGTCGGACTGATTGACCAAGAGCCCACTCGCACAGCCCTGGAGCCGGTGGGGGAGGGGAAAGGGGCCTCACCTGGTGCCAGGTGTGGTTGCAGAGCCTCCCCGTAGCCACCTCTAGCTGCTTCAAGGTTGCCACGGGAAATCCCATCACAGTTCTCAGGAATTCTATGGTGTAAAAGAAGGCAGAGAAGGCCTGCAAAGGAAGAGGGTCTCACTAGGCAAACCCCAGGCACGTCACCCTCCCAGCCCACTTCAGCCCCAGCACACTGGGCTTACCATGAAGTTCCCAGCTACAGGGGGCTGGAAAACCCCATTGAAGGAGCAGTGAGAAAAAGGGCAAAAGGAGCGATTGAACAGCTCTGCCACCAGGCTTTGACAGTAGGTAAAGTTGCTGCTTCCTGACAGGCGGACACTAGCGCTGCTGTTGAAGGTGTGTGGCCGCTGGCCTTCTGTGCACGGGGACCCGTACACATCCTGGAGGTGCACCTGGGCGGTATAGCCACTCGGCCAGCATGGGTGGGCGCCTTTGTCCTGGGGGGTGGCATGAGAACAAGTGGAATAGCTCATCACCCTAGTCCCAGGAGGGCCTCTCCGGGAGACAAGCTGTGCTCAGTAACAATCCACGGCTCCCTGTAGCCTACTGAACAAAGACGGAATCCCCTGGGCAGGCATTCAAGACCCTCTAAGATCTGGTCTTCCTTTCTCCCCAGCCTGGTACTCACAGGCTCACCCCCGGTCCTTGAGACTGTCCCATGGGTTCAATTGACTGCCACTTGTCCTGGCCCAGGGAATGGCGGCTTTGGTACCGGCTGCTTTGAGGCGCTGCACGGTATGGCTGCAGTCCAGGGTCAGCTCTGGGGCCCTCCTCACCCACCTCCAGCAGGAAGGAGCATTGTGAAGGCGGGAAGCCTGAGAGCAGGCGTTACCTGCAGGACTCTGGCCAGCAGCCTCCGGAGGACCTGGTCCCGCCCGTAGCAGAGGAAGCTGTGGGTATAGACGCGGTAGTTATGGCCATAGAGCCTCAGCTGGACCTGACTGGCTGGGTCCTCAGCTTGACTGGCTGTCTCGAAGGTGATCTGTGTCGAAGCACCCCCTAGGTCCATGGCGCCCAGTGTCCCCTTCTTTGGCTGGAGCCACTGGCCCACCCAGTTGTACTGTGGAAGTGGAGACTGGGAGTCAGCAGGTAGATGGGCACCAACTTTCTGTGGCTTGCTGGGCCCCTCCCTTCATCCTGGCCCACCTTGATGAAATTTTCCAGCAGGTAGTTGACGGTCACCCAGCCGAACACCCCTTCATCATGTCCAGACAGGATCTGGGCACCCCGGAAGTCAAAGGGGTACTTAATCAGTGTCTGTGTCACACTCTCAAGGACTCTGGCTGAGGTCTGGGGATTGGTCAGCCTGTGAAACAGAGGCCTCTAAGCAGCCACGTCCCCAAGTGGCTCCTGTCCTACTTCTGGGGTACACCTAACCCTAACCCAGTCCCAGAACAGCTGAGGGTATGTGGGACACACCTGGGCAGACATACCACCCCCCCTGGCCAGCTGCCCAATCAGGAAAGGGTCCACTCACTGGAGCAGCCGCATGCCTGCAGTGGCCCCCAGGTACAGGGGTGTGTCGGCATGTTGCTCCTTAGGCACGTCCTTAAGCCCCTTGTCCAGGCAGTTAACGAGACTTTGGCCAGCCCTGGGGGGATTATCTGCATAGCTGGAAATGCCCCCACCTGGAGGAAGGCAGAGAGATGGGTCAAGCCTGCAAAGCAACACTGAGGGTCTCAGGACCCCAAACCAGAGGGCAGTTGAAGCCCACCTTTCCAGCTGAAGCCTTCAGAGACAAAGGGGCCAGGTGCCACCCAGAGTCTGAGGCTGCCACCTGCCCAGTGGGTGTGGACCCAGGTGCCAGGACAAAGCCATCTAAGTCAGTGGAGCCCAACCCTTCCATCTACTACCTGGGGTTCCCTCTCTAGAATACAAACTGCCCACAGCTCCTCCCAGTCCCAGGGGCCCAGCTGCAAGAGGCAGACAGGCCTGGACTGCTGGGTCTGTAGTGGCTAAGGTCCCAGGGAGCGGCTATGCAGGCCCCAGGGACACTCACCATGCACATTACAGAAGCTGTGCTCACCCACGATACCAGTGTTATTCTCCTTGTCTGCTGGCCACTTGTACACAAACATGGAGGTGTGTGAAGAGCCAGCATCCAGGACGATGCCGTACTGAGGATGGGGAGAGGGGGCTGGGATCAGCCTCAGGGGCTTAGGGACCCTGGAGGCTATGCCCTTGCCCCTCCCCCCCCCCCCCAGCTCTCTACCCCCACTCCATCCAGTGGAGAAATTGAAAGCTTCAAACAAATTCCCACTTTCCAGAGGAGGGAACAAGCTCAGAGAACCCCCCCCCCACACACACACACATAAACAGTTTGGCCTTGGTCCCTGCTGGTCTGCTCTTTGCCTTGGATTGCTTGGGTTGCCTGAAGCCCTGCAGGAACACAGGTGTGTCCTGGAGGCCAGCATGGGAGGCACCTGGCCCCAGCTTTCTTGCCAGCCCTGGAGGAGAAGAGCTGTCGGGAATGCCTGGGCCACACATGGAACCTTGCCCCAACTGGTGGGGGGCTACGAGTGAAAGCTCAGCCAAGAGGTACCCCATCCTGCTCCGATACCGGTACCGCTTTTCCTCCCCCTGTACCATCAGCTTTGACTTCAGCCCAGGCTGGAGAGGCGGAAGCTAGAGCCTCAGGGGACCAGGGCTGGAGGCAGGCTGGGTGGAGGCCTCCAACTCAGCTCACACAGCCTGAAGACTCTCCCTCCTGCGTCTCAAAGCCAGAGGGAAGGAGGTGAGTAAGCGGGGTTGTGAGGGGTGAGTGGGGGAGGCACTGGCTCAAACCTTCCTCGAAACCTAGCCAAACCCGGCACCCTGCTCCTAGAAGCCAGTTTCTAGCACCTGCCCAGCGGGTCTGAATTCCAACGAAGACATCAGGGATGGAGACCACGCCCCCCTGGCTCCCATTCCCGCCAAGGACATTCACGAGGACAATTGTGAATCCTTCCCACCAGGAACTCTCCCCCCACCACCCCCCTGGGTAGCAGCCAGCCCACCCTCCCCCAGCGATGTTGCGCGACTGCAGAGTCCCAACCCCACCCTCTGCGGACTCGCGGGGCTTAAAGGCTACTTCCCACCCGGGCCAGGCCCGCAGAACCCGGTCCCCGCAGAAGCCCACTAAGAGGTTACCAGTCCCAAGCAACTTCTGACCGCTTGGCCTGGAGATTTGGCCCAGCCCACCACAATCCCTTTCCGACCAGCCCCAGCTACCCCGCTCCTCGCCCAGTGCCGGTGGGGTCCCATGTGGACCCTAACGTCGCACTCTAGTGCGACGGCGACTCCCGGCGCCCTGCGGACCGTGCTGGGCTCTTCCATTGAGGCCGGCGGTGCCGTGAGGCTGCATCGGGAGGCTTGGGGCGCGGCGTCTCGAGAGTTGCCGGGACTTCGGCCTCCAGCCCCACGGCGGCCCGGAAGCACTGCCGCCGCCCCACTTCCCCAGACGGGGCGCAGAGCACTGAGGTCCGGGGCGCGGCCAACCCGGCTCCAGCTGCTCTAGACGTTCGCGGAGCCCGGCTCGCACCTTGAGGCGGGGGGGTTCCTGGACGTCCTGGGTGCGGATACAGAGCAGGAGCAGACCGACGAGGCCCACTGCAGCTAACAGCAGCAGCGGCAGCAAAGACAGCACCTTCCCAGCCATGAGCGGGTGCGTAGGCCAACGAGGCGGGGGACAGCCAGCGGCAACGAGTTCGCCGGCCGACGCGGCTGGGGCCGCGGGGTAGACTTCGGGGGCGGGGCGGCCCCGCCCACAGTCCCTCCCCTCCCGCTGGCTCCGCCCCACCCCGCTTCCCCGGGCCCTACGCCAGGAAATGTAGGTGTAAGACGCGGCCCACTGAGTCACACGCCACAACCTCCTAGCGCTGGGGTCGCTGCTGGGTGCTCTGCAACCAGAACCCACTGTCCTTCCTACCTATGTACCCCATAAACTGGTACCCTCTAACCTGCCCTCTGTGGCCTCGAGTACTTACTTACCTGAAGTGTCTGTCCATCTACTGCAGGGGCCGAGAATCCCCATGTTTCTGCAGGAGGGTCTAGGCGCCGCGTTTGGCTAGGAGGCAGGCGCTGCTGCCTGGATGCAGACCCAGCTATGGGGAGGGTCCTAGCACAGGTTGAGGCAGGCTGGGCTGATTGAGGAACAGATTTCCCCCGATGGCATTGGGTCTGGGGAAAACCGCTTCTCCCTGGCCCGCTCCTGCAGCGGTTTCCCGGGAGAGGGGAGGAAAGGTACTACCAGCTGTGTGAAATTCCGCTGAGGTCTCATGAGTAGGCGGGGCAAGGGCAGAAGAGCCAGACACTTACTAGACCCAGGCCCTGCCCCTGAAGTCCCCAAGGTTAGGCATCAAGGGTACAGATGACCCAGGTCCTGGAAGCTTAGAGCCAAACCTGGTGGCAGGCTGAGCCACCCTCCCCAAACAGTGCCTAGACGGTTAGGCCTGTTGAAGGAAGGATCAGCCAGCCCTGAGACAGAGCTCAGGGGGCCCTTTTCCTGGGAGGGAGGGAGGGAGGCAGAGGAGGCTCCCAACGAAGTAGGAACAGAAAGAAGCATGTAAACACAGCCTTGGAGGACGGGAGGGGAGAGGGTGCCTAGCCCAGGCCTGGGGTGCCAGTCAGCACACAGCATGCTGGCTGTGGGGGAGGGTTCATCTGGCCCCTGCACCCACCAAGTGCTGCCCTCTCTGCTGAAATCCCACCAGGACCCTGCGTGCCACCAAGCCCCCTCCTTCATGTCTGCAAGATGGCATTCCAGCACAAAGAATCTAGCGTCAGGGAGCCATGTGGCAAGACCACCAGGGAGTGGCCCCAGTTAGGGTGGGAAATGGGGGCAAAAAGAGTCTTTGATGGAGCCCAGGGCCTAGGCAACGCCCCAGCGGCTGCACCCAGCAGGGACAATGGGGCTGGGAAGGCTGCCCGGACAGACTGAGGGTCTGGTGTCACAGGCCCAGCAAAAGAGTCTTTCTTCCAGTTCAGGACCAAAGGGAGGGGTGGGAAACTGGCTAGAGGGAGGGGGAGGTCCCCCCTCTTGCTTTTCAGAGCCCAGCCTGGCATGGGGGAGTCAGAAGTGACCTGTTTCCTGCCAGTACTCCCAACACCAGCCTGGATGGGACAAAGGCACCTAGAGCAGCGGACACATGAAAGTTCCCGCCTCCCCCACCAGTCCCAGCCCTCACCTCCCCACCAGGCCCTACTGACCTTTGCTGACATCTCTGTACTGGGACAAGTAACCGGCCCAGGCCAGGGCAGTGGAAGCAGGGGTGCAGACCCGGCCCTGAGGAGCTGGCTCCGTGAAGTCTCTGCTTGGCTGCGTGGAGAGGGGGAGGCCCTGGGTAGGGAACAGCCAGCCTGAAGGGGAGGCTCACCCGTCATCCATGAGGGAGGGCCACTTGGCAAAGGTTCCCTGACACATTCCTTGTGAATTGTATCAGACACACAAAAGAGCGGCTGGACCAATACCAGCAGCTTAGGAAAGGGACTCTTTCTAGTATATTAGAGCCCTCCTTGGTGGCCCTGACCCACGCACTCCCTCTTTCCCACAGGAAAGTATCTACTGTCCTGAATTTTATGTCTGCTTTTCTTTTCTTTATGATATTGCCACCTGATGATGCATCTCTAAATAGTACACTGTTTAGTGTTTCCTGGTTTCCAATTCTATACTAGACACATTGTGTAACTTGCTACTTTCACAAACATTGAGAGTTTTCAGATTTTTCCATGTTGATGTTTGAAGTTGTTAATAGTTGCTACATTGTTTTCACTGTGTGACGATAGTAAACTCATGGATCATTTTAGTGTTGGTGAGCACTTAGGGGATTGGGGCTTTAGGCTGTTTTATGTAGGAGTGGCGTTGCTGGGGTGTGGTATATGGGTATGTTCAGCTCTCCTAGCCAAAGCCCAGGTATCTTCCACATCGAGAATTCCCATCAGCACTCTCATTAGCATGTGTGCTGGTTAAGCCACATCCTGCCAGCATTTGGTACTGTCACGCTGGTCTGCTCACAGTGAAATGACGTCTTAAGATCCTAATTCACGTTTTCTCTGGCGCTGTTGTCGATTATGTGAGCTGAGCTGCTAGCTGAAAGGTCAACGGTTCAAATCTACCAGCCGCTTCATGTGAGAAAGATGAAGATTTCGGCTTCTGTAAAGATTTACAGCCTCAAAAACCCTATACAGGGTCATTATGAGTCAGAACCGACTGTGTGGCATATAACCACCACCACCTGGTCCTAAAGAGACCCCCTTATCTTTTGTTATGCTAAATGTTACCTCTTCATGAAGTGTCTGAGTTTTCAGTCCATTTTCTATGCATTGTTTGGTTTTTTTTATTACTTTGTGAGCATTCTTTATATCTTTATGTTGTTGTTGTTCAGTGCCATCAAGTGGGCTCCAATGCATAGCGACCCTGTATAGGGTTTCCAAGGAGCGGTTCGAGTCCATCCGTCACTGCATGGGAGAAAGATGAGGCTTTCTACTCCAACAAAGATTTAAAGCCTTCGGACTCATTCGTGTATACGATTTCCGAGGAACAGCTGGTGAGTTTGAACCACACATCTTGCGGTTCAAGCCGACCCTATTGTTGAGTGTTTATCCTATAGTACCACATCAGAAATCCACTATATATATATATATATATGAGCATGGTGACTCTGTAGGATAAACACCAAACTGCAAACCACAAGGTCAGTGGTTTGAGCTTACCTGCCACTCTGCAGGAGAAAGATGAGGCTTTCTATTTCTGCACAGATATACAGACTCGGAAACCACATATAAGGTGGCTGTGATCAGAACTGACTCGATGGCACTTAACCACACAATAAATGTATGTATATGAACTAGGGTTTCCAAGGAGCAGCTGGTGAGTTTGAACCACTGGACCTTGCAGTTCAAATAGCTTTGCAGTCTGGTGCATTAAGCCACAGTGCCACACCAGGACTCCTATATATATATGTATATATGTAACTGATAGTGACACTGTATAGGGTTAAAGTCCAGTGAGTCACAGACCAGTGATTATCCAATTATCTGACAGCGCCACAACAGGACTCACGTATATATACCGTCACTGTGGTTAATGCACTGGACTGACCCTATACAGGGTCACTATGGATTGGAACCTACTCAAGGACACTTAACAACAAAAAGGCTTCAGAAAATTTGTAGGAAATTTTAATTCTCTTCTAATTCCATTTTTCCATGGATGTTTTAAAGTTCATGTATGCATCACTGACGTCAAGTTGATTCTGGTTCAGAGCGACATTTAAGAACAGAGTAGAAGGGTTGCTCCTTTGGTTTTTTGAGATTGTAAGTATTTACAGACACGAACAGCCTCATGTTTCTTCCAAATGGGTTTGAACCACAAAACTTGCGCTTAGCAGTCCCATGCTTACCCCTCTGTTCCATCAGGATTCATGTTTCTCTGGAGTCGCTGGGTGGTACCGATGGTTATTGAAAGGTGGCAAGCTGAAGTTTCCCCTTGGAAGAAAGGCTGACCAGACTCATCACTGAAGCCCTTTGGACACAGTTCTACCTGACACACGTGAGGGGCCAGGAGTTGGAATCAACCTGATGACAGTTAATCCTTTGTTAAATAATGAAACTTCTTTTACCCCACATGTGTCAGATTTTGCTCTACACTGTTTGCAAAGGAGGGAGCCCTGTCTGAATAAGCTTTTCCCACCACTAGGTCATAAAGATAGTGACCGCTATTGTTTTCCCAAAGCTTTATAGTTCTGTGCTTGAGGGGAGGATGTTGTTGTTGTTGTTAATAATAGTGTGAAATATTCCAGTTCACACTATCCTGTATGGAGAACTGATAATCCCAGCACCGCTGACCACTGGGCACATTCGGCCACATCATTTGTTTTCTATTGATGGGGGCTCCACTGCCACCAGTCTGCCGGATCGTGTACCGTTTCAGGTTGTGAGTTGCTATGATTCTGAAAGCTATGCCACTGGTATTTTAAATACCAGCTGGGTCACCCATGTGGGGCAGGTAGCAGGGGAGGTACCAGACTAAGACAGACGAGGAAGAAGGCGAGGCAGACCTCTCCTACAAGGCTGCCCACTGAAAACCTTACAAACAACAGTGAAAGAATGTCAGCGAAGCCCCTCAGGAAGGAAGGCACTGGGCAAGAGCTGCGCCCTCAAAATCGAATTGATTTTAATGATTTGGAGGAAGCAAAGCTCTCGGGACCTTCACTTGCTGATCGGGCACAACTCAAAATGAAGAGGAACAGTTGCAATAAGCAATGGGAAGGTGGAAAATATTAAGGTGTATTCTAGAAAAATTGGAAGTCATCAAAAATGAATCCAAAGCCTAAGATCAATATCCTACACATTAGTGAGCTGAAATACACTGGTATTAGCCATTTTGTATCGGACAATCATCTGGGTTAAAATGCCAGAAATAGCAAATTGAAGAATAATGGGTCGTACTCATTGTGAAAAAGAACATTTCAGGATCCATTGTGAAGTACAGTGCTGTCTATGAGATATTCATACACCTACAAGGAAGACTGGTTAATAAACTATTATTCAAATGTACCCACCAACCCCTAAACCTAATAATAATGAAACTGAAGAATTCTAGCAACTTCTTCCGTCTGAAATTGATCGAACATGTGATCAAGGTGTGTTAGTGAGTAC